CTCTTAGTGCGTTTAGGTAGGCACAGGTGAAATAAATCCAAAAGATTCATGCGTAGGAAGCCTTGAGAGAGCGAGCTGGTGACTTCTCTCTTCTCGAAACCTGTCAGACTTGCACTCTTGGATCTTGGGGGCTGTCTTCTCTCACCTGGACATCCGAATGCCACGCGGCGTGGGGAGCAGTGGAGCAGCCTTCTCCCTGTCCGAAGGTGTCAGGCTGCATCTGTTGGGGGCTCGCGTTGGACAACGCCGTACCCAGCACTGTTCTGGCCGGCATGCTCGATCCCGGGAGGTCCTCTGACCTCCGCCCCGTGATTTCCATGCCGAGCTACTTTTCAGTGTTGGGTCAGAATAAAACCTAGCGGATTTTCTCTAATTTATCTGCTGCTTCTGCGTTGAGGGTTTGGGAGGAAAGAGCCCTTCTTTCATGAAGAAACCCTTTCCTCTGGCCAGCTCTGAACTTAATCAGCTTTCCTGACCCGCTGACTGCGCTCCGTGTGCCTCACGGTGCAGAAGCCGGAGCCGGTTGTCCCCAAGCAGAACTGGCCCCGTGCGCCTGGCCTCAAGTTGCAGCATTCAGGCAGCATGACCTCACCTCCTGGTTTCCAAGAATAACGCGGTGCCTCCCCTCCGCCACCACGGGGCTGTCTGCAGCATGTGAGGGTGGCTGCGCCGGGTGTGGAGCAGTTGCCTCTCGGGGCCCATCTCTAGCAGATGCTCCCCGCCAGCCCCTTGGAGTGAGCTGCCCATATCGGAGTTGGGCTGGAGCCACGTGGTGCCCAGTGGTGTCATTTGGTGTCTCTCCCCTTCATGTGGCAGGGGTTTTGGGTGGCAGAGCAAGGACTGGGAAAGGCATCTTGAGGACCAGGCTGAGCTTGCTCCATGTCTAGAGAAGGAAGTTTTGGGGGTGTGAGTCCACGAAGACCACTGCATAATGGCTGGCACTTAAACATAGCTTTAGGTGACCTCTCTCTACCTTTAAATCAGTTGCGAAACTGGGCTTTCCTAGGTGTTGAGGTTAGCCTTCCAGAGCTGTCTGGAGCCATCAGGCTGTCACCTTCATCCCTGGAGCATGGCAGCAAGGATGTGATGCTCTTTTTGTCATGAGTGCCCTATCTGCAGATGGGAGGAGAGTGGTGAGCAGAGCAGGGGAGGACGCTGCAGGCATGGAGATGGTGGGTTGTGTAGGAGCTGTTCAGCTGATGTTGATGTCCTCGTGGTCCCGAGGCAAGTGTGTGGGACTGCGGCCAGATCGTGCATGTGCAGAGAGCGCAGAACTGCCGTCCTCTCCTGCTCTTCTCCTGCTCTGGACTTGCAGGCTGCTCCTGCCTTATATCTCTGGAGCACAGGAGCGTAGCTTTTTGAAAGTACTCAAGACCCGTATCCCACTGCATGTGGCTTCCATTGGCTCCCTGGGTGCCGCTTCTTTTTCATGACTGGCATGCCAAAACATCTAAAATGCTCTTTCTCTGGGTCTGAGAGTGTCCTGGGAGAGGCGCTCCCCATGCGCAAGCTGCAAAGCCTTTGTATGCTGCGTGCAGAAGGACTTTGTAATTGCTGTTTCTCTTGGACATAAAGGTATGGCTTTGCAGAAGGAGTTTGTATGGCTCCAGCCTGCTTCCCTGTGCCCTCCGCACCCCTCCTGGAGCCTGGGCTTCGTAACGGGCCCGCAGTGAGGAGAGCGACGGGTGCTGCTGGAGATTTGCAGTGTTTTTACTCTCATTGGATCTTCCCAATTCCTGCTAAGAGGGTTGCGTGGGTTGTGCACATACCTACGTTTGTCCTGTAAAGTTTAGCCTCCCTTTTCCAGTTTACTGGCCGCGAGTCATGTCCTGTGTCTGCGGAGGGGTGCTGTGGTCGGGCTGCTGACGGAAATAGCTCTGTGTCCAGTTTACCCAGGGAGGTGGACAGGGAGCAGCTCGCCGGGGCTGGAGGAGGGTACGCAAGAGTGAGTCTGCAGACAGCTTTAACAGCCTATTACGCTGTTGTTCTTACACTAACTGACTGAGTCATTTCAAAGGTTTCAACCTTTTAAGATTTTACCAATTTGGAGTAAGGATTATAGCGGCTAGCAGGTTTAGCAGTTGTTCTGACGCTGTATTTCCTTTGTGGCCTCAGGCAGGGACTAAAGGCCACAAGCGTGTGATTGTTGGTAAATCCTCCTGACCTGAGGTGACCTGAAACATTGATTTTGCTGGAGATGCTGTGACCTGAAAATGTCATTGGTGGCAGAGCGACTGCCACGAGATCGGAGCGGTGGTGGGATGGGAACTTGCCTGCTGGAGGTGGAGGGGGGAGCAGGAGATTGGAGTGGCAGCTCCTCTCCAAGCTTTGGTGGGACCATGCAGAAGAGTCGGAAGTTGTGGGTCGACTGAGAAGCTGCTGGGGAGGATGGCACCTTCCCGCGTATTATGTTCATGTGTTACTTTGCTCTTGCTGAAGTAATTTCTGCAGGTGAGCGAGCTGCCTGGGACAGGCACAGCCTTTGCCGTCATATGTAATGAGATTATTTAAGCTGTTGGCGTCAGGGATGCATGTGATTATGTGCCTGGCTGTCCAGCAAGCTGTAGCCTAAACTAGAGATAAAGTTCAAAACGCAAGCCCAGATCTGAATGTTCCTGGGGCTCCCAGCCAGACTGGGACTTTGCAGCTCTGCTCTCATAAGATAGCCATGCCCGGCTTCTGATATAGGTTTGGGATCGGCAGCGGGATGAACTTGTTTTCTTCATCATAATTAACTTTGCTGCTTCCCTTTGTGTGCCCAGGGCTGTAGCTAACTCCTCCTGGGTGCTCCTTCTGAATTCAGGCTATTCAGCCCTGCTGGCCTCAGAATAGGACCGTAAATTGGGCTCAGGATCGCGATTGTCATATGCCTTTCATGCTGGAACAGCCTAATTCTGTGTAACAGCATGTCAGGGCTCTGTGCTGTCTCTCTCCAAAGAGGTATGTCACTGCATGCTTAAGCATGGCTTCTGGGCTGTTTGCTAGCTGGAGGGTTGTGCTGGAGGGGTGGGAGCCGGAGATGGAGAGTTGATGTGGTCAAGACATGGTTTAGGGAAGGCAGGGGACCTGGCTGCACTGGGACCCCTGGCCAGCGAGTGTCATCTCCTGCCCATGAGCCGTGCCGGTGATGCCCACCCATGGGCTGGTCTCTGGGAACCATGGTAGCACATGGTTGCATGATTGCCTCAGATTTGCTCTCTCCCCTGGAGACCCGGCTGCGCTCTCCATGCTGGGTCTGCTGCCATCTGCTTTCTGGATGAAGATAATGACGGGGGTCAAGGCATCAAACTCCCTCCCAATGCCTCTGGCAAACTTGTCTCCAGGTTTCTATTGGAGAGAGTTGGGTGGGTGCATTATCCACTCTGTGAGCATTCAGAAAATGGAGCGGCGAGTCTCTCTGTTTCTCGTCCTCTTGGGTGTCCTTTGGCCATGAGACGCAGCACAGAGCTAGCGCAGTCTCTTGAAAGGCTCCTTGGACTTCCTGCCAAATGTGTGTTTTCAGGGAAATCTGGCTGGAACAAAAGCTGGGGCTGCTGTGGAAATTTGGCAGCGCGTCCCGTCGCCTGGAATTCCAGTAGCTGCAGATCATTGCTTCTTGCGGCTCGAGGCACGGATGGGAGCCTGGTCCGAGCGGCGCTCCTCGGAGACGGGAGCGGCACTCTGGGTATTTCGACTCATCCCAGCTAGGCTGGGGGGAACAAGCACATGCGCTCCAAACCGAACAAACCGGAAAGTATACATGCTCTCCTCAGCCTCATTCACAGCAAAACCAAGAAAAGCTGGCCTGCTGGCAGGGGTATGTTTTTATTTTGAGTTGTAATAATAGCCCTGTTGCATCTACCATCTTGGTATTTAAGAACGCTTCACAGCAGTCTTCATGCATCGCATATCCACTTGCCTAAGCAAAAAGGCAGGAATTACGTTTTCTTTTAGATGGGACTGCTGCGGCAGAGAGGTGTCGCTGGCCCATCACCTAGCTCGGAGCGAGGAGTCGAGCTCCCCTCTGGCCCCCAGACCTCGGTGGGTCTCATAACCTGTGGCTTTTGGGTACGGCTTCACGCCGTGGAGTCATCTCGGCCCGTAAGAGCTCGTTCCTGCTGGCTCTCTGCCCTCCAGGCTGTGCTGCGACTGCCTCCCCGCCACCCCCCTTCACCCGTTTCGCAATGTCGGCTGCCCATTACGTGGGGCAGATTGCTCAGAAACCAGAGATGGCTGTTGCATAAGGCACTGTACCGCAGTAGCTGGCTTCCACCGAGCCTGCGTTTCCCTTGCAAGGGAGGGCTTGCCAGGAAGCTTAAAACCGGGTTATCTCCTAGAAGTTGTCAGAGCTGTGACTCTGGCGTTTTTGGGTGAGTAACTCAAAGGCAGGAGACCCGATGTGGGTTTCCAGCAGCGCCTGCCAGGACTAGCAGCCGTGCGATTGTCAGAGCAACATCACCCTCGTGGCGAAATAGTGACTCAGCTGCCCTCGGCCGCCGCATTTCGGATTTCGGGAGGCATCCAGGCAGCAGGACTGGTTCTGCCACTGAGCACGCTGCCGGCCCTGAAGGCCGTTTTGGGGGACCAGGGAGTGTCGCAGTGGTCTCAGCTGTCCTCTGCCTTAATGTCTAGGTAGGGTGCTTGTGCTCTTGCTAATCCGCGTGCTCCGGCGAGGCTCTCCAAGCCCTTTCTTTTGTCTTCGGTGGACTTCCCTGCAAGGAAACCGAAGCCCTTCCCCACCTGAGCGGCAGCTGATTAAGCGTAGCTTCTCTGAGGCTGGTGGGAAAGTTGCTTCAGCTTTAGCTCTTGGACAAGACTTCTGAGCGCAGGAACCTCCTTTTTTTTCTGTCTGCTTTCATATAAACACAGAGCCTTCTCCCAAAGGCTGGGCGCAGCCGGTCTCCTGGGCAGTCCTTTGTCTGGGGAACTGGCCACACCTCGCCGCTCCACTTAAATGAGCCGGTGGCTCATTTAGGGTCAGAGCAGGACTTTTAGCATCTCCCTCTTTGTTGCCCTCCCACCCTGGTTATTTCCCTTTGGTGACCCACGAGGAAGAGCTGCTGATGAAGAGCAGCTCCCTGCCCACAACATGAGACAGCTTCATGGGTGGTGGAAATCTCCAGGGAAGTTCTCCAGGTCCTGGAGGTTTCTGGAAGCGTCCTACAGCTCTTTGCAGAGGGCAGCTGGGAGACTGCCTTCCCTGCCCTCTGTGCTGGGCCCTGGGTGCGTGTTGTTAGAGATGCAAATGCTAGTCTGATGAAGGCCTTGGTGAGTAACACGCTGGGGAGTTTATAAACTGATTAAAATGTGGTCTCTGCATGCTGCTGAGCAGCTCTGGCACCTCCCTCGGCTGCCGGAGGGCAGCAGGGCTGAAAGCTGGACTTGCTGCCTGGTCGCTGGGCCCTTTGGAGCAGATTTGCCAGCTCTT